TCATACGTCGTCTTTCATTTCAGTTTCTGCTCATCTGTCCTTGTCTGATTGACTGAATGGAACCCACATATTCCATCACTTCGCCAAGAAAGGTTCCTCTTGCTTCGACTTGTTTCATGCATATAACTTTGCTGTGTTAAATTCTGTATTCCAGTGTTCGGATGAAATTATTTCCCATGTGTTAGTGTAGCGCATTACAGGCCGACTCAAACAAGATATCTTTACTCTACGGAGCGTATACGCCGATGACAGACCGTGTGAGTTCATGCAGTTGGATGCTCCAAATGCCACTCACACTTCTAACCCACGATGCTTGCGCCATCTACGGACCATTTTAACCGGACCTTCTCTTGCCCTACACCCACGCCATGGTGCTTGACATGGCAGCTGACCAGGGGTGTTTCCCCTTCCTCCATCCCCACATCATGACGCTTAGCCTAGACATCGATAATTTGCACATGACAAGTTACCATGGCGCATGAAGATTGCATGGTTACGTAGTGAAGTTGAATTTTCACTTTTTTTTATGTATGTTGCGATCACTCCGGATTTTCCGACAAGATCAAAGATGAAGGCTAGAAGTTGTTGTTAGAAAGAAAGGGACGCCTTGCTTTGTTCCTCAATGTGCATTGTATGCTGCTTGCACGCTACCCCAACACGCCTGACCCAGACAACCTCTCTGAAACCACACACGAGTAAACTGCTTTTAAACTGCCATGTCTTATGCGACTTTCAGTATTTGCTGGAATATTAGAATAAAATATATCTGTAATACATGACGCCTTTACTCCTTCAGCAGCATTTACACGTTATATCATTTCTCAGTCACATCTACTAAAGATGTTATGAGTCAGGTATGAATGGTATGAATAACTTCCTTGAAACGGACCATCACATAAATACCATGCCAGCTGCGTATGAAAAGAGATAAGTATATACCTCTCAAGTAGATCGTATATTATTACTCGTTGAAGTTTTGAGTGGGTTAGATATCATGACCGAAGCATCTACGTTAAGGAAATGAGGTACCGCATGCATTGTCATAAGGATATAGTAACACTGAAATCAGAATTTTGCATGGTTATGTCTCATGGAAGAAAGTACGTATTTCATAATAAAGAATTTAATTGTTGTGGGTCACGTACGTAACTGTTTTGTGATGAATATACGAGCTATACATTTTAAGTAGCTCTCAATATGGACTGCGGGACATGGATAGGTGAGGTATTATTAGTGGATATTTAATGCTTGGAAAGAAATCCAGATTAAACGTGGGTGCAGCCATAACCCATATTAAAATTAGTGCTGTAATGATATCCAACGGGAAAGTGACTTGAATAAAATGTACCACGTGTAGATCGAGGAATGACCACGGGTGAATGGCATGCAATGTTGATGGTCAGCAGGAGGCATACATATCACACGACCGTGAAGTATGATTGGCGAATGAAATGTGGTTAATGGGCAGCTAATCGTGGCTTGATGTTCCTTAACGTTTTATAATATATGTTGTTAAACAAAAGCAAAGATAAACCTGCATATGAAGTACACTACATCAAGAATAACCAGTATGTACGAGTCAAACATAATTAATCAGCAATACCACTGCAGGAATACCCCATAATTGCATCATTACACATGAACAACGTTAATCCCCTGTTTCTAATGGTTGTCCATGACGATTAATATGTTGAGTAACTTTCCAATCATTGAAATGAAATAATAGTTAAAGTGTTAGATATGCATCACGAAAATACTAAAACTTCTAAACTGCAAGCAATACGGCATACATTCGTTATGTGATGTAATTCACTGCATGTTACTTCAGCCCCCCTGTTATCAGTCAACTTGACAAAGTAGAAAAAAATACCGCGTGGTTCTATAATCTGGTGATTTTCATACGACGTTATTTCGTCGTACCATGAGCTGTACGACGTCATGACTTAATCCATTGTAACTTGATACATCTGGTGCATTATGAACGTTGTGTAAACATAACGCATGGCGTCAAGATCCCTCTAGTGAATAATGAGTTATCTTCATATGAGGAAAATAACAGTAAATATATGCAAAACGAGGCTGATATTTGACTGACAGATATGTACAAAAATTTCTTCAGTTCAGTAAATTAATTAAATCATTACGATAACCTTGCCACTTGTTATTTGGAAGCACAATCCGTAATAAGCAGACAATCTGAAAGATTAATGATTTTAAAGTGATTTGCTTGCTAAATGTGCAAGTATAAGCATAACATTTAGGGAGCGAGTTACATGACAAACTCTTAACTCAATCATCTCTGATTTATAATTACATTTTCGTATTTTTCTGTCTAAGAGTCAATATATATAGTTTTTCCTAACCTATATCTATTAATTCAGAGGCCATTATTGATTTCTCAATGTAAATATTTTGTTGGCGTAGTCTGAAATCCCATTCTTTTTTACACTCTGTTAAAGTTAGTTGAAGCCAGCGCCGGGGAAGGCAGCACCGTCGACAGGTGGGCGCGCGACAACACCTTCAGCCTCGGATTCACAAACGAAACATTCCTTTCCATTTCCTGTCCACTTTCCACATAACAATTTTCGTGACTATTTGATGATGAACTCATGTGTTATAGTAGAGTCGTCTGGATGGATGACTAGAGCATGTCCTTCACTTGCTATGGCAGAAAAGCCTCCATAGAAACAAGGTGCATTTGTGACGCCTCCTCGTGTTCGCGCCACACTTTGGGAACGAGACGCAGGGCAGCGGTGCCGCCTCTCGCGTCACGGCCCATCCACTTTGCTTTAGACTGGCCCTGGAGGCCTGAAATGGGTTAGGTATGATGTCGAAGAGCGATTGCTATGTTGTTAGGAGTATGGCACTTGAAGGGCACGGGTGAGGGGAGGGCATCGGGAGGGCGACGGCGCGCGTGGCGGGGCGGGCGCCGTGCGCGTCGCCGCGTGGCCCCCGTGCGGCCGATCACGTTGCTCGCTCGCCATTTGCAGCAGCCGGCCCTCGCGTATGTGCTCGAATATACGGACGCACTAAATTCTAAAGCATCCAACCAATTTAGTAAGTTGACAGTTCACTACTTGTTTTGAAGAGGATGTGTAGATCATCTTATGATGCTGTTTGGGAGCGGAAAATACTGTCTTGAAGTGAAATGGTTCATATACATCGCGGGGGTGTGGAGAGGGTGACTGGGCCGTCCGTTGAGACCGTTGCACGTTGCATTGGACGTGACGCCGGCTGCATTGGGGTTAGTTTGCATCTGCGTTGAGAAGCGAGTGCGTTTCGACGAGTGTCAGTGAGATTCCGGTGGTGGGATGAGGTGATGTGGTGAAGTAGGCGTTGTCGTGGTCAGTGTTTTGGCGGGAGAGCGAGCCGTCACACAGCTGCTGGGACTTTGTTGTTGTTTGTGCTGTGTCACACCTTGATGCTCCTTGCCACGAGTCTGGAGGTAAACAACACGCCAAGGAGGTTTCCCGGGTACCAGTGGGATGTTCACAAGGGACGAAATTCGTGTGATGTCCGTCGTGTAGTAGCGACTGTAGGCCTATTTCGGATACGTTCTTGGTGCCAGAAGTGATGTCGTGGATTGAACGACCGAGTGCTTTTGGCGATCGTTGGGCCGTGTTGTTAACTGTCAAAGTATGTGGTTTAACTGTCAAATTATGTGGCTGAACTGTCAAAGTATGTTGTTGAACTGTCAAAGTATGTGGCTCAACTGTCAGAGTGTGGTAGCAAGATGGATAAGTAGTGTCAGTGGCTTAGAAACAATGGACTTTGGGTTCTTTTGTGATTCCATGGTAGTGTGAGAGGTTGGCATTACCTGAAAGTAATGATAAAAGAACTGTTATGTTGGGTCATGCAGTATTAGTCACTCCATGTGGAAACCATTCTTATTTGGCTTTTGTCATGTGATATAGTCTTTTTAACTTCTGAAATACATTGTAGTTCAACCTGTGTTATGAAGTGTCTTTGTGCTTGTGTCAGACCAACATTATAAAAAAGGCAACTATGAAGCACAATGGTTCTTTGTGAATTTTTTTTTATTTCTAGTCCGCAATGCTATAAAGTTTTATTTATAAAGGAGTCTATACATTCTACATGGGAGAGGTGAATTTGAAAACAAAGTAGCAGTCAATACCACTTTTAAAGATAAAGGTTTTTAGGTCTTTATAGAGATTTAATTTCAGTTTCAGTAACATGTTAGAATAAAATGAAATATGTCATGTTTACTTCAATAAAAGATTAATGGCGGCTTGTTTATGAATGGTTTCAGAAAAAAAACTGTTCATGATTTTATGCAAGATCCTTGATATGAATGCAGTGGAAAAGTAAAATTTCCTGTAATCTAGAATAAGACAAAACTTGAAAAGGGATATCTGAAGGTTTATGAAAATGTAGTTCATTAATATTGCAGGAATTTCACTTCATCAAAGACAAAATGTTTAAAGATAAATATATGACAGTTAGTTATTTGTTTATGATCAAATTTCCATAAGATAGGAAAAGAAATTATAACAATACACAGAAAAAAATATTAGAGAAATGCACAACAATATAACTTTAAATTGACATTAGGAATCTCATTATAGTTGACAAATATATCCTTTAATCAGTGTTACTCCTAAAGAATGACTTTGCTTACAAACTGCCTCCTCTTATATAACTGTGTGTATGCGTGCTTGCTTGCTTGCTTGCTTATATATATATATATGTATATATATATGTATATATACATATATATATATATTTATGTATATATGTATATATGTATATATATGTATATGTATATATATGTATATATATATGTATATGTATATATATGTATATATATATGTATATGTATATATATTATATGTATATGTATAATGTATATGTATATGTATATATATGTATATATGTATATGTATATATGTATATATATATATGTATATGTATATGTATATATATGTATATGTATATATGTATATATATATATATATGTATATATATGTATATATATATATATGTGTGTATATGTATGTATGATATATATGTATATACATATGTATATGTATATGTATGTATGAGTATATGTATATATCATATGTATATATATGTATAATATATATGTATATACATATGTATATGTGTATATGTATGAGTATAAATGTGTATATATATGTATGAGGATATATTTGTAAATATATGGAAGAGTGTATATGTGTGTGTGTGTATATATATATATATATATATATATATATGTATGTATATATATATATATGTGTATATATATGTATATGTGTGTATATATATGTATGAGTATATATGTGTATATATATGTATGAGTATATATGTATATATATGTGTATATATTTGTATGTATATATATATGTATATATATGTATATATATGTATGAGTATATATGTGTATACATATGTATGAGTATATATGTGTATATATATGTATGAGTATATATGTATATATATGTATATATATGTGTATATGTATTATAGTGTATATATATGTATGAGTATAAATGTGTATATATATGTATGTATAAATGTGTATATTATATGTATGAGTATTGTATATATATGTATGAGATATATGTGTAAATATATGTATATGTGTGTGTATATATATATATATATATATATATATATATTATATATATATGTATATATATGTATATGTGTATATATATGTATTGTGTATATATATGAGTATATATGTTATATATATGTAGTATATATATGTATATATATATGAGTATATATGTGTATATATGTATGAGTATATGTGTATATATATATGTATGAGTATATATGTGTATATATATGTATATATGTATATATGTATGAGTATATGTGTATATATATGTATGAGTATGTGTATATAATATTATGAGTATATGTGTATATATATGTATGAGTATATGTGTATATATATATATATATGTTATATATATGTATGAGTATATATGTGTATATATATGTATGAGTATATATGTGTATATATATGTATGAGTATATATGTATATATATGAGTATATATGTATATATATGTATGATATATATGTGTATATATATGTATGAGTATATATGTGTATATATATATGTATATATATGTGTATATATATGTATGAGTATATGTGTATATATATGTATGAGTATATATGTGTATATATATATGTATATATATGTATGAGTATATATATTATATGTATGAGTATATATGTGTATATATATGTATGTATATATGTATGTATATATGTGTATATATATGTATGTATGAGTATATATGTGTATATATATGATATGTGTATATATATGTATGATTATATATGTGTATATATATGTATGAGTATATATGTGTATATATATGTATGAGTATATATGTTATATATATAAGTGTATATGTGTATATATATAAGTGTATATGTGTATATGTATGAGTGTATATGTGTATATATATGTATGAGTGTATATGTGTATATATATGTATGAGTGTATATGTGTATATATATGTATGAGTATATATGTGTATATATATGTATGAGTATATATGTGTATATATATGTATGAGTATATATGTGTATATATATGTATGAGTATATGTGTATATATATGTATGAGTATATATGTGTATATATATGAGTATATATGTGTATATATATGTATATATATGTGTATATATATGTATGAGTATATATGTGTATATATATGTATGAGTATATATGTGTATATATATGTATGAGTATATATGTGTATATATATGTATGAGTATATATGTGTATATATATGTATGAGTATATATATATATATATGTATGTATGTATATATATATGTATATATATGTATGATATATGTGTATATATATGTATGGTGTATATATATATATGTATATATGTATATATATGTATATGTATATATATGTATGAGTATATTGTATATATATGTATGATATATGTGTATATATATGTATATATATATATATGTGTATGAGTATGTATATTATGTATAGTATATATATGTATATATATGTATGAGTATATATATGTATATATATGTATGATGTATATATGTATGAATATATGTGTATATATATGTATGAGTATATGTGTATATATATGTATGTATGTATATATGTATGTATGAGTATATATGTATATATATGTATGAGTATATATATGTATATATATGTATGAGTATATATATGTATATATATGTATGAGTATATATATATGTATGAGTATATATGTGTATATATATGTATGAGTATATATGTGTATATGTATGAGTATATGTGTATACATATGTATGAGTATATGTGTATATATGAGTATATGTGTGTATATATTATGTATAAGCATATATGTGTATAAATATGTATGAGCATATATGTGTATATACATGTATGAGTATATATGTGTATATATATATGTATTTGTATGCATGTGTATATATATTGTGTGTATGTATATGTATATACACATATGTATATATATATATGTATGTGTATAT